CTTTTCAGACTCAAGATAGTATTCTCTCCATAACAGTGAATTGCATACATTTATACTCTTTGTTCAGGGTCTACTTTGCTCCCAGCACTATGTGAGAGGAAATATAAAAAGAATTAGAAAATCAGCATGAATCCTTGCCTCTGAGAGACAGCAGCATTGTTTGTAGGCAAAGCTGTAGATCAGCAATTAGATCTGGCTCCTGGTTCTAATTTTGCCTCTAACCACCTGCATGATTATATTTTATTCGAAAATAACAAAAACAGACCTCAAACTTAAATAGAAAGGGGAATTTATTGGTTCATGAAATCCAAGGAAGGATTGAACAGCCAACTGTCAAGAAAGGCAGAGCCACAGAGGTGACCCTTAGGAACAATAGAAATGAGGTGTGCAAACTTTGTTAGGAGTTTTTAAAACCTTTGGTTTCTATTGCTGTCTATAGGGTGGTTTTACTTTCTCTCATTGCTAACTGGTTTTCTCTAAAGGAAGAAATATGTCTATAATATTTCTGAGTATAAAAGTTAAATCTTTAGCCATTGGAGAGAAATCACTCCAATCTATCACTTGCCCGAAGCACAAAAAAATCTCAGGGAACCTACTCCCTTGGCCCAGCAGAAGGTGGGTGCTCAATTTATGGTCACCAAAGAAGTCAATTCCACGGAGTACTAGCAAGATTATCCCAGGTGTTCAGTTTCTTAGGTACTTAGTGAAAGTCATGAACCTTGAATATGGGGCATGATACAGCTACGTAGAAGGAAAGAAGGCCAGTGTTCCATGTAGGGGGAGGAGGCTTTGAGTGAGGGATATAAATGGTCTATGAATGAAAGATAAGTCTGGTTGCAGTGGAGGCTACACACTCTTCCCATTGACACTGGACTGCTAAGGTAGAAACTGAGGATGATGGAACTAAAAGGTAAAACACAGAATTTGTTCTAGTTGAAGCAGCCATTATAGGTTTCTTTTCTAGATTCAACAGTGACTGTAAAACCCCAGTTTGTAACATAAACAAATCCTCAACCACTTCTTAGAATGCTCCTTCCTTGTCAACTGAACTTGGCTTAGAATTGTGGCAGTGGGAACAAAGAATGAGTGTGAGAATTCAGAGAAGGGAAATTCAAAAGACAACACCCACCCCTCTAATCTAGGAGCCTAGAAGAAAGATGATAACATTTAATAGTACTCTCAGTGACTTTTTGAACATAAGCATCTTGAAAGCAGATGTATGTGTCTTAATAACATCGCATCTCCAGGAATCTAGCACAATTGGTGCTTAATTTACTAGATTAACAAACTAACTGATTCTTATAAAATTAGTTAATTAATAAAATGGTTTCTAACCCCCTTCAAGCTCTACAATTTTATGTCCATTTCTAAATCCTAATCTTGAGTCTTCAAAGTCCTCAAATAACCACACACAAAAAAAGATAGGCTTTTAAAAAGATTAAAATGGTGAATTATATGTTATGTATTTTTGACAATAAAAAATGCCCCCCAAAAGAATAGGTTGTTTGTTCTACTGTACTTTAAGAAATATAAGTTTGAAAATATTCCACACACATTTTGTAACTATTTTCACCAAGAGCAAAAGTTTATAAAAAACACTGTATATTCTTTAGAAAATTAAATTAACCATTCTGATTAAGGGAGAATTTAGCATATTTACAAACACAAAAATATTAGGGACAAATCAACACCTACCAAAATGTCTGGAATGATGAAGGGGGAGATGTTAGAGATTTCAAGTCCTGAACTTAAAAAAACAACAACACAAAACCTTCTGTGTTGGGTATACACCTGTATATCCAATTATTTCTGTAAAAAAAAAGTCATGAATCAGATTTTAAGAATAAGTAGAACTGGAGAGATGTTAACAAATAAAGAGGGGAAATCTTAGAAAGAAAAAAATGATTTTAAAAGTACTACAGAGTGGGTAAAATAAACCTGAGTGTAAATAACCTGTAATGTTAAGGGAAGAATTTCTGGGTCATCTCAGCCTACATGGATTAGAAATAAAGTGGGAGAGAGATCATTTATTTTGTTGCCAAGAATACTCTCACCATTTTTTAGTATGTGTTTTTTTTTTAATCTTTGGGATAAGGCGATTGAAAAGTTGAGGTACAGAAAACATAGAGGATGGAAAACTCTACTAATTATGAACTTTTATGTATATTTATATTTTATTTACATTTGTACTGTCATCGGCATTTTTTTCCCTAAAAAAAAACCAAAGTTTAAAATCCAAGTCCCTAATAAGAGAGTGAGAAATGTGATAGGCATCTTTTTAAGAATTCAAAGGAAATCCTATTTCTTGAGAAATATAATAAAACTAATCAAAGATGCAGGATAGCCTTGGCTGGGTTGCTCAGTTGGTTGCAGCTTTGTCCCATATACCAAAAGGTTGTGGGTTCGATTTCTGGTCTGGGACCATACCTAGGTTGTGGGTCTGATCCCTGTTCCAGGCACATATGGGAGGCAATTGATAGATGTTTCTCTCTCACATTGATGTTTCTCTCTCCCTTCTCTCTCAAATCAATAAATATATCTTTGGTTGAGAATCTGAAAAAAAAAAAAGATTCAGGATAAAGTCATTAGGTATGTATATAAGAATTTAATACACAAGTTTAATCTTTCAAAAATAAATTCAAGGAAAAGGTACAAGGAATAAGAAATATAATTGGTAGGTGCAAAATAGACAGGGGGAGGTTAAGAATAGTACAGGAAATGGAGAAGCCAAAGAACTCATATGTACAATCCATAGACATGGACTAAGGTGGGGGAATGCTGATGGGAGCAGGGAGTAAGAGGAGGATAAAGGAAAGAAAAAAATGGGACAACTATAATAGCATAATCAATGAAATATACTTAAAAATACATTAATTAATAATCACCAGTTACTAATGTTCATAATGTGCTATATACTGACATCTACCTGTCAAAAATATTCTAGCCCTGACCAGATAGCTCAGTTGATAAGAGTGATATCCTGATGTGCCAAGGTTGCGAGTTCGATCTCCAGTCAGGGCACATACAAGAATCAACCAATGAATGTATGAATAAGTGAAACAACAGAGCAATGTTTCTCTCCCTCTCTCTAAAATCAATAAAAAATATTTTAGTAATAGTAATAATTTATGATAAATAGCTTGCAATACACAAATTTTGTAGTTTAACAAACAAGAAGTAAAATTAGGTTTCAGATAGGTAAAAGAAAATAAATATATCAATGCATATTTAGTTTAAAAAGCATATTACCATTTTTTATTGAGTAGCAGTTTTCCTCCTAGTTTTATGGAGATATAATTGACATAGAACATTGTATTATTTCAGGTATACAATATAATGATTTGATATAGGTATATATTGCAAATCTATTTGTCTACAGACCTATGAATTCAAATGAAATGCTTTAATTTTTTTCCTACTTCCAAAATCCTGTTCAAATCTATCCCTTTCCTTCCATTCCCAGAATCCCAGCCCTAGTTCTGGCTCTCATTCTCTCACCTGGTAACTGCAATCATCTAATCATTTACCTGGCTTTTGTCTCTGACAGCTAGCAACTTATCTTTGATTTTCTTCCCTGTCACCTTGCTAAAGCACAGTTCTGATGTTGTCACTCCCTTGCTTAAAAGCCTCACAGGACTCTCTGCTGCCTACAGATATAATCCCCAGCTTGGTATTCAACGCCTTTACAATTTGGTCCTATCTTCCCTTTCTAATTTCAATCACTTATCTTCCTACTCTGTACTCTATGAGCTATACGTTGTTTACTAAACACATATTTACACATTTCCATCCCCTCGTTATTTATTTTCTCTCTTCCTAAGATGGGCTTTTCTATCTATTGGTATCTTGCTCTTTAATTACAGTCTATCAACATGATCACCTCTTATCACCTTTCCTGCTGTCCCATTGACCTCATTTCTCCTTTCCATTTCTCCTTTCTCCTTTCATGTTGTGTTGTTTACCTCTCTATTTTAGCACTTTTCTCTGCACTCTAAAGGTGGGTCTGTTTCTGTCTCCCATTTATATTATGAGCATCTCGAGGGCAGGTATAGTCGCAGCCTGCCAATCGCAGTGGGAGGACGAGAATAAGTCTCCCTGGGAGAGTAGAAAATATTTCTAATGACATAACGGCAGGAGAATTTTCCAGCCTGTTTCTTGGAAGAGTTTCAAATTCTTTAATTACAGGCATTCACCTTACGCAAAATAACTTCCTGAAATTAGAGTTCTGAGGCTTTCTAATACAAACTATTCTTCCCAGAAGTCAATCTGTAACTTGTGAGACACTAAATCGACTTTATCAGACTCAAAAATCTATACACTGCATTAAGCCACCAATGAACCAGTTTCTGTGCAAACCCTGTAACTATTGGAATTTATTAAAAGGAAATTCTACATGTAAATTAAAAATGCCTGGGATCTCTTAACTTATACCACAATATTTGGTTTGTGACACAGTATTGCCCAGGGATCTACATGTAGTCCTGCCATCTCTGGTCAACTGGCACGTGACTGTCAGGACATTAACCCACATCGGCAGCTCAGTAATTACTTGTGATGATTTAGTTGAACGATTCCGGTCGCGTGGTAATTACTTCGCCTTCATTCACCATTTGATTCTGTGCCAGCAGGATATCCGGGTGCTCGGCCACTGGTACCGCCAAAGCTGGCACCAGGATCGCGTCCTCTCGGAGCCAACGTTCGAAGGACTACAGCCCACACCACCAGCCTGCGAGGAGAAGGGGGCTTAAGTTGGAGAGGGAGGACGCGAAACCTCCCGCACGCCGAGTTCCGCGATGCCTACTGGGTATTAAGGCGAACCCGAGGGCCGCGGCCGGGCGAGCCTCAGCACCCACTCGCAGCAGGGTGCACTTCGGTCGGACGCACAGCCCGGCTCCCTCCCAGAGCGACATTGGGGGGCGGGGCGGGGCTCCGCGCGCGCCGGCGCGTGGAGGCCGGGGGCGGTGGCCGAGCGCGCGCCGATAAGGGCGGGGCGCGCAGCGGCTGCTGCGGCCTGTGGCGCCGTCACCCGGCAGAACCCAGTTCGTGGAGCGAGGCGCTCCTGCTGCTGCTGTTGCGGCCACTGGCCACGCGCACGGGAGCGATTCGGGGCTGTGCGGAGCCGACCCGCCCTCCTGCCACCGTCCTCCCGTTCGCGGGCCGCGTGGGTCCGTTATCATGTCGCTGGGGCAGCGCCTCGCTCAGCTGGCTGGCCGTCTGCGGGAGCCGCAGAAAGTGGCCCATTTCCAGCGGCTGTGTGGGGTGGAAGTACCGCGGACCCGCTACGCCGCTGACCCGAGGGAGGATGAGAAGGCGGAGGCTCCCCTCTCCGGAGACTCTCGGTGCAGAGAGCGGCATCCAGGGGCGTGCGAAGGCCCCCAACCTCCCGGGAGCGACCGCAATCAGTGCCCCGCCAAGCCGGGCGGCGGCGGCACCCCAAACGGCGTGCGAAACGGGCTGGCAACCGACCTGGGCCCGGCCCCGCCACGGCGAGCGGGCACCCTGCGGCGAAACTCGCTGACCGGCGAGGAGGGCGAGCTGGCCCACGTGAGCAACTGGCCGCTCTACTACCTGTTCTGCTTCGGCACGGAGCTGGGCAACGAACTATTTTACATCCTGTTCTTCCCCTTCTGGATCTGGAACCTGGACGCCCTGGTGGGCCGGAGGCTTGTGGTCATCTGGGTGCTGGTCATGTACCTGGGCCAGTGCACCAAGGACATCATCCGCTGGCCGCGGCCCGCCTCGCCGCCCGTGGTCAAACTGGAGGTCTTCTACAACTCCGAGTACAGTATGCCCTCCACCCACGCCATGGCCGGCACCGCCATCCCCATTTCCATGATCCTCCTCACCTACGGCCGCTGGCAGGTAAGCTTCCCTGTCCTCGCCCCGCACAGCCTGGGGCAGTTAAAGTACTCGGAGTTCTCTTTGCTCTCCGGGGTTATTTTAATTTGGCTGTTTGTTCCTCTCCCAAACTTCTCTTTCCGCAAACAGGGTCATTTTAGATTTAAAAAATTAAATGCTTGAGGAAACCTGGAGACTTAGCCATCAAATCATATTTTAATAATAATGCCTTTCTTAGAATGCAAAGTTCTAACACTGTTCGTGAATACATTATAATTGGGCTTTGGTTGAGTTTTTAAACGGTTTTAATTCTTGTGCTGCATAGAATATAATTGTGATTAATTATAATATCCTTATAATGAATTGTTAGGTAACTAAGACTCAGTTTCACCGTAGTATGGGGGTGCCTTCCCCCCAAAAGATTCAGGCGTTGGTACAGTTTTTAGCTTTACTCTGAATCAGTGTTTATAAAACAATAGTACAATTCCAAAACAAGTGTAGTCGATCCAGGCAATGAAGTAATGAATTTTAAACGAAAGCCACCCTTTGTGGAAGTTAATGAGGAACAGCCTCAGTTCTCTTTTTAAGGGGCGTGGCTGCTAATTTTCTGGTAGACGCAAAGTTTTGTCTTCTGGATCTGTAGTCTGTAGTAAAGCTCCTGCATTATGATTGTTGCGTTAGCTTTACAAATTCGTAATTCTTAAAATTTGGGCTCTTGATCGTATTAGTGGGTTTGTGAAAATGGCAAGTATGACAGCAGGGTCAGCCTGACAATTTGGGAACAGTAATAGTAAACGTTTTCCATTTTGCTCACTTTTTTTGGCCTCCCATTTTTCTGTTTTTCATAGTTCATAAATGAGGTTTTAAAACTCTTTCTTATAGATGCAAAATTAATTCTTAGACTACTGTCTTGTTTTATCTGTTTTAAATTGTAAGGAGACCAGCCCCTTAATTTAAGAGTTAATAATTATGGAGGATCTAAGGAATCAGACTTTTTCAATGTGTTTCCCATTGCACCATAAAATCATCTTACATCAAGAAATACACGTTCTGTGTAAAACTTCTTTGTGATTAGCATACTTTCCCCAGATGTAGTTTCAGTAGAGATAAAATCTTGTTCCCATGGACACTTCTGTGCGGTGCATCTTTCCCACAGTACATGGAAACATGTAATGTGCATAGGAAGAATGGTAGGATTACCAGGCAAGAGTACCATGGACAGGTTTTTCCCCCCTATTTAACTAAAGGAGATTTACAGTGATACTCAGATTGCAAAGTGGAGCTGCCTGTTCTGCATATACATAAATATCTCAAATTTTTATTTAATCTGAATATTTCAGAATTTAAGGTATTCATTCAGTTATGTTTGGCATGATATTCACTGGTATTAGCTAATGATGTTTCTCTTATGTTGATGAGACTTTCAGGATTCTGTAGTTACAGGGCCTTTTATAACTCCTCAATGAATAGCTTTGTTGCATGTTATTAAGGTGAGCAGTCCAAATAGGTATTTATTGCTCGTCATTCACTCAGAACACATATTAACAGGGAGTCTGAAAGCAGTACTGATGGATTGTTTACAGGGTGCAGCTATCAGTATTCTAACATTTCAGGGTTATTTGAATCATCAGAATAAGTTTATCTTACTTTTTTTTAACAACCTGGTATATTAAATTCAAAGTTTGAGGAATTTGTATATCATACAATTTTAAAATTTGAGCTATACAGGACTTAATTTCCTAGTTTCAGACTGTCACTTTACTTACAGATGTGGAAAGACACATTGCATTAGAATTAATTTTATATAATTAAATTTCTTATTTTACATTTTTCACTGTAAATTTGAATTAACTCCTAAATTTGAATAATTGCTTATATTTTGGTTGTTTTGAAAGTCTTCCTTGTATGAAAGTTCTTTGTTTACAGACGTTTGACTGTAATAATTTAGTACAAAAACCAAGATGATTTTTTTTAACAGGAGAAAATAAAAGTTTAATTTATGTGCATGGGGAATTCACATAGGTACAATAAATCCATGAAAATTCTCAAAAACAGTGAGACAACATTGGGTATATAAATCTGTTTAAGCAAAGGAAAAAAGAGAAGGGGGAAATGGGGAATTAGATTTTAGAAGTGAGAATGGGCCACTTACAGGTAGTTGACAAAGAACACAGCTCTGGCTGGCATGGCTCAGTGGGTTGAGGCTGGCTTGCAAACTGAAAGGCCGCTGGTTCGATTCCAGGCCAGGGCACATGCCTGGGTTGCAGGCCAGGTACCCAGCTGGCCATATGCAGGATGCTGCCAGTGGATGCATCTCTCACTTGTAGTTTCTCTCCCTCTCTTTCTCCCTCCCTTCCCATCTCTAAAAATAAATAAATAAAATCTTTAAAAGAAAAAGAGCACAACACACAGGGCAGGAAAACTCCCCCTAGGTTACTCAGAAACAATGGGACACGGGGTATCCATGCAACAAGCAAGTGCCTGCAGCCCTCTTGCTTACTGTACTTAATTCAAATTGGGCTAAGGCAGATCCTAAATTCTCCTTTCTGAAGCAGGTTTTTCCATCTGTCTCTCTTAGGTAAGAAAAGGAAGGAAGTCTTAACTTTCTGAGTTTTTTGCAGCTTCAGGTTGACATAATTTTTGTCCCTTTAGTTTCATCTTTGAAACTTTATCTTTAAAATGTTTTAATTTATTGATTTTGAGAGAGAGAGAAACATCATTTTGTTGTTCCACTTATTTATACATTCATTGGTTGATTCTTGTACATGCCCTGACCTGGAATCAAACCTGCAACCTTGGCGTATGGGGACAGTGCTGTAACCAACTGAGCTACTCACCAGAGCCGAAACTTTAAATAATAAACTTTCACATTCCAGAAGCTAAGTTGGTAGTAGTTTGCTCCATATTTTATTGATTCAGTCTTTCAGTTCTGAGAATAATTCAGTTCAGATAAACATGTTGAGTCTCATTTCAGCAGTTGGTGCTGCACATGGGCTCTCAAAGTGAGGCCTGTACTGTGTGTGTACGCAGTCAGTTATTTAATAAGGAGTATGTCTTTGAATACAGAAGGAGCAGGAAGGGTAATGATTAGAGCAAATTATAAACCAGTTTCTGAGTCTGTAAGGCTGTCAGCTGAGAAGATTTCTGTATGTAAGTCTCAGAGTTTCTTTTGCTGAAATGAAGGCAGGCAGTGACTGATAGAAACACTGTGCTGTTTCAGCATCTCTGATGATGTCATCAGGTGTTCCAGTGAATTGGGCATGGCTTGCAAAGCATCAGTCATTGAGACTAAGTATGAGTTATTGTGGTGATTTTTCTGGTTTATATTGTGTCCTTTAGTTGCCATTTGTTATTGCAGGGCTCAAAAAGTTTTTAGAAAAAAAAATTTTAGTTTCTAATTCCAAGTCAAAAGATGGGAGAAAAATGAAACATTAGTTTGGAAGGTTATAGCCAAATATATAGGACAACTAGAAAATTCAAGATTCAGTTTAGTATATAGGTGAAAAATAAAACTTTAAAGGCAATTAAGTGAATTAGACTCTAATATCCACAACTGTATATTGTACAGAGTGTGGCAAAAGTAAGTTTTTTAGTTGTGAGTATGTGAAACCGTTTATAATTATATTATTATTTATTAATTATTGTATTTTTTTCTGTAGGACTAACTGTAAACCTACATTTGCCCCACCCTTTAGATTCTATGAAAACATAATTCTCTCCCTAAAATCATCCTCATTTTCCTCAAAGTTGGCAAAATTAAGGCTGTTGGCTGTATAAGTCTAGTTTCAATAAATTTATCTTGATTATTTGCAAAAATTCAACAAGAATAGCAATTGGTCACATAGGCTCTCTTAAGTTTGCTTTGCTGGAATCTCATAAGGAATCTCCAGAGCCTCTCAGAGCAAAGAAGCCCAGCCACATAGTTGCTCTCTGACTTTGCATGTAATACACATAGATTTGGGTGAATTCTTAAGGCCCCCCAAATGCCTTGAGGTTCTTTCTTTGCCATCTCTCAGGAAAGCAGCCTTTTTTTTCACCTGGAAAGACTGCCGTGAACCAAGTAAATAAGCAAGGTATCAGGTAGTTTTTGTAGTTTTTCCAAACGGCTTTTATCAGCTTCCAAAGTTAATCTGAGTTCCTTAAAGCTTTCTGGTGACATCCAGAGTCTATGCATGTCTCTCTCAAACTAGACATTTCATTCAAAGTCTTGGTTAATGAAACCAGTTTCCAATTGTGTCCTGTTATAAAAGAACAGATTCTCATTGAATTCACATAAACAACCATAGTACCATGAAAATTGAATAATACTCGCTAAGAGTTTCCAAATTCTGGAGGGATCAGGTAGGGAGAAAAATATAAAGGTTTCAATATTGCTTACAAAGGTGTAATTTACCAAACTACTTTAAGAAAAAAAGTTTCTTTATATCTGGAAAACAAAAAATTGTTTAAATCAGCAATATTTTAAACAAAGTCATAAAATAATAACTTTATTAAGTTCAGTCAGCCACACATAATCAATTCTTGTTCATCTAGATCATCTGCCAGTATTTCTATAAATCCAGTTATTCTTTAGAGTTCTATAAATCTGAATCAAATTTAAAGTTATCTGAAAATGTATTCTCAGCAAATTACATTTTAAAATAAATCAGTATCCTTTTCATGGATCTTTGAGATGAAACCTATTTGCAATGCAGCAGAGTAAAACAATGACCGTGTGTAAATGACAAAACTTAAAATGACATGGTTGTAGATCTGATTATAATGCGATTGACAAAGAACTTTGCTTTTGTGTAAGATACAACATTCTGAGATAACAACTAGAATTGTAGATGAAGTTTTATCAAAACTTGGTAGACTCTTGGAGATTTTTATAAAATCTTTAGAACATTTATTTTACTATTACTCTGTGTGCAGATAAAACAAATTATTATTTCTCTATTTGACAAAGCTTCCCATATAATTCATATAAGCATATCAAATAGAGCTAGTTGGTTAAAATTTCTCTTTTATAAGGAGAGAAAATA